ACCAGCGGCGCATAAGCGGGACCACCTATCCTCGTACTGAGCGTTTTGCCGAATCCGCCTCGAAGCCAGAATTGTGTCTGCAACTGCTGCAGGAATTCAGCGTGCCTCGAGGTTAGACCTGACAGAGGCCAAGCCACCCACTGAATCCGTGGATTTGGGTGGAAGCTCCGTTCTGAGTGAGAATGTCGGTCGCCAAAGGTAATAGAACAGGAGGCTGAGCCAGAAACCTGAAATTACGGAAACCAGCTCTGTGATGACCAAAGCGGTGCCAGTAGCACAAGTAGCCGAGCTGGCTGGGTGGACAGCTGTGAAAGGACCACGGGGAATGAGTGGTAGCGGCGGGAGCGCCAGAGCACTTTGCCCGTCAATCCAGCAGGAAGGCGTCGGCAGCCAAGCGCCCTGGGTCGGTATCCGAGAGCAGAACACGGGTGTCTGATCGTCCGCCCGGGCGCAAACAGATCCACCTCGAGCGACCCGTACAACTGGGAGATTACTGTGAATATCTGCCTGTCGAGCATCCACTTTCGTGCGGGGCCAGGATCCGGCGCGAGGCGCATCTGCTGCTCGCCGTTCTCCAGCCCGGGAGATAAACAGGGAGTACCTGACAATGCGTACTGGTGGCACCAGAGGAGAAAGTCCACGCTTCCCGGAGGGCGCTGGGGACACCGTGCCTCCCTGCTTCAGGATATGCGACATGGCCGTCTGGTTGTCTAACTGAAGGCGGACTACCTGGCCCGCGGACATGCTCTCTGGGCTTCGAATACCAACCGCACAGCTCTCAGTTCCAACACGTTGATGTGAAGGTGGGCCCGACTTCGGACCAGAGTCCGGAAGCCGACAGACTGCCAGAACACCCCAGCCCGTGAGGGGCGCATCGGTCTGAACTGTGAGAGCTGGCGTCCGGGATTTCCAAGGGAACCCCTGGTGAGATTCCGACATTTGTCCACCACTGAAGGTGAGGTGTCAACCACTTTCGGGGACTGTGAGACTGCGCTCCAGATCCTCCGTGTGAGTCCACAGCCGAGCCAAAGCTTGCTGTATGGGGCGCATCCTCAAGCGCGCCCGCCACACTACAGAGATGCGTCGCCGCCATATGGCCCAGTAGGCGGAGCCAAGTCCGTGCTGGTGCCTGGGGCTGGGAGAGGAATGAAGATACCATCTCGAACTCTGGTGACCCGGTCGGGCGACAAGGGAAGCGAGATCCTTGTTCGTTTGGAATCGCGCTCCAAGAAAAACCAAGTCCTGGGTGGGTACCAGGTCGGATTTCTTGAGGTTGATGATCCACCCCAGTCGAGTTAGAATGTCTATCACTGTGTGAGTAGCATCTTGACTTCGCTGGCTGTGTTAGTGCTCCGAGCAACCAGTCGTCTAGGTAAGGGTAACAAGCGCCTTCCTTGCGGCGAGCTAGGGTAGCTGGGACTAACATGAGCTTGGTGAACACCCTTGGGGCAGTCGATATGCGAAGGGAGCACCCTGAATTGGTAATACATCCCGTCGTAAAGAACCGAAGGTACTGCTTGAGCGATGGATGTATGGGTATATCTGAATCGCATCCTTTAGGTCGATTGACGTGAGCCAATCGCCGGGCTGAACAGATGAGATCACCGAGCGCAGTGTCTCCATCTTGAAGGATGGTACTTCGAGCATGCGATTCAACCCCTTGAGGTTGAGAATCGGACCGGAACCGCCGTCTTTCTTGGGGGCGAGGAAGTACGTGGAATAAAATCCCGCCTGTTCCTCTCCCGGTGGAATGCGTTTCGATTGCGGACTTGTCCAGCAGAGCCTGAACCGTCGGCGCAATATGTCGCCCTGGCTTGACATGGCGGCACCCGAGTCGCGGCGTATGCGGTGAAGTCGAGGCGGACCTCGCTTCCACAGTGGGAGATGGCCTATGCTGACCGTGGCCAGCACCCAAAGCGTTGTTGGTAGCCTTCTCCCATTCCGGCAGGAATAGAGAAGGCGACCTCCCACTGGGATATGGGGTAGGGCTGGCGTGTGTAGACCCGAGTAGCGGAGCTGACTGGGCGTGACACGGCTTGGCGGCAAGCCTGATGGGTTAGCGGGAGGTGGGGCAGACCTCCAGCGCCCATGAAAAGGCTGGGAGCTAGTCGAGGACTGCTCCTTGCCCCTACCCTTGGCGGACCTGTTCCTCCGCCTACCCCTACCAAGCGGCGAAGCCAGCCGGCGGACTTCGGGTGTAGGCTGCACCCGGCGGAGGAAGGAAGCACGCGGGGGCGGGGGCGAGACACCAGCGGGTGCTCCAACAAGGCCTTAGAGTCCTTGAAGGAGGTAGCTGCAGCGGCAGCCTCCCGTATGACCTGCTGGGCCCCTGGAAAGAGAGTGCGGCTCCCAGGCGGAAGGGAGGGCCAGCAAGGTCTGCTGTGTTGCTGCCGAGTACCTAGGCGTCGACAGCCACAGCCTGCGCATCCCCATGACTGCGCACATCACCGTCGGCGCAGCAGACCGCCAAAAGAGTGGCGAGGTGAGCCTGCACTTCCAGCTGGCCGGGCAGCCGCGACATGCGGCGACCGTCGCCAGCATGCCCCTCCGCCTCCAGGGCCGACCTCTGAACCGAGGAGAGGTAGGCCTCATGGACCACCACCCCGCACCTGCTGCATGGCGTTCCGGTAGACCTCCTCGTAGGTCGATGCAGCGTGCGCGAAGCGCCAGCGAGGGCAAAAGGTGGAGTAAAGCCCTTGCCGAGCAGCGGAGCTGCTCGGAGGAAGCCGAGCCTCCCCAGAGGCGGCGGAAGTGAACACACATTCGTCTGGTGGCACAACGAACAGGGAATCCTCCCCAAGCTGGTAGCGCCGCCGCGAGATCCGGTAAGTCAAACCGTGCTTTCGGGCACCAGACAAGAGGGGATCGACCCGTCCGAGACCAGCGAAGGCAGAATGCGGAGCTGCGTCTGCGAGGGTTGCCTAGGGGCAAGCGCCTGCGCCTGGCAAAGCGGAACTCAGTCGAGTCCGCGCAACCAGCAGGCACCGCGGCCTGGGGTAGGCCCTCGGCAATTCTCTGCGGACCTCCCGCCAAGGCGAAGCAAAGCGGAAGCCGCCGTCATGCTCCTCAACCTCCCCAAGCTCCATTGCCTCGGCGCCCGAGCCGAGTCGAGGCTGGGTCTCCTCCGTAAGAGGACCCTAACCCGACCCGGTGGACTGCCTGGCGCTAGGAACCACAGGAAGGGAAGAACAGACAGGCGGCTCCGCGTCAGCGCCAGCCCGGCGTCGCGTGGACCCGGTCGAGGCGCTGGAGGCAGGCCAGGCAGAACTGGTGCCTCCGGCTCTCAAAAGGCGGGTGTGCGCAGAGGACGGAATACCAGGAATACTCAGCGGTCCCTGCGCTAACTCCGAGGGGACTGGGAGCACCTCCCTCTCTCGGAGCAGCCGAGGCGTCCGGATCGAAGCCAGAGGCAGCGGATCTACAGGCGCCTCAAGGCTGAGGATCGAGCGAGCCGGCGATCCCACCCGGACTCTCCGCCCCGTCGGAGTGGGTGAGAACTCCTGCGGAGACCTCCAACCGACTCGAGCGAAGGACTTCCGCGGAGTCCATATGCTGCTGAAACATAGATTCCATTACCGACATGTCAAAACCACTTTCGAAGTGGTAGGAGAGGGGAAGGGCCTCCGGGATTTTTTCCCTTTTTGGCGTTCGTTTTGTTTTAGGCGGGGGACCTGCGTCAGGTCCCCTCCGCCTCCGCATCTCCGCGATAAAACAAGCGTATCGGCCGCCCGCCTCTTCTGGGCCCGGGGGGAAAAGGCCAGACAAATAGGGCAGGACTCAGCGTCGTGGCCCGTCTTCTCGAGACAGGCAACGCATAGCTCATGCCTGTCGGCCCGTGGAATTTCTCTCTGTCCACAGACCGAACAGGATGAAAAGGCCTGAAAGCAAAACGCGCAAGCATGTAGCTAACAGCGGCCAGCAGCATATAAACCGTAGAAAACATTGAAAAATCGTGAAGGTTACCCGCGGAAAGTAATAGTTGGTTTTAATCGCAATATTACGACCACATGGCGCGCTAAACTTCCCGCCATGGCAGAGCAACAACGTCGTAAACCACGGGAAAGTTGGCGTATTTTGTATTAATACAAAGTCACAATTATGAAACAACCAACTGTAAAGCTTTACTGTTCCTTGTTTTAGGCAAATAAAGACCATACATACAGGTGGTGTCTCAGACATAGCTTTCTTATTAGCTTTCAGCTGTCCGGCTCATGAAGTGCGTTCTATTATAAACACGTCTGTTCCGCGGCGGTGACAGCAGAAGGAATGATGATCGGGTCTAGGAGCCTACCCAGTTGAGTGCGCATGCGCTAAGGAGGTAACTCCGTGAGGTAGGGGCCATTATAATAAATAAAAGAGTTTATTTATTGTTCAATCTTTTATTCAAAAACATTGATACAACTGTCACAGGACATTTTCAGCCGGAAAATGCATAATATGTACCCCAAGGGCGATCTCTCTGAAAAGAATTGTCATGAATAAGTGATAATTGTGTTTTAATTATGTTTGATTTTTTGGTTGCATGTGACCTTAATGTTTCACATACATATAAGCATGAAGAGCAAAACATAAGACATAATAAGACATAATTGATAATGCTGTAAACTACAGTAATTTTCAAGGAAGAATACAGAATCTATTTGCAAGACATCAAACATTTTGTTTGAGCTTGGGTGTTCTGAGATAGTGAGTTAATGTTTAACATACATATAAGCATGAACAGCAAAACAGCAAGGTAATAAGGGTTTGGGGTATTTGAGTACTGAGTTCTAATTGACACTGAAGCCCAAGTTAAAACAAGCATAATCAATTTCTTCTGCGAAAGAATGCCTAAAAGGAAACACAGATCTTAATATTTCTTTTCAACAAAACTAAAATTAAAAAGGGGGAACATTAATTGACAACAGCTCATGCTAAATTCATTCTTCCTCTAAAGATTAAAGGTTTGGGAATATGTTTCAAAATGCATTTTCATATGATAAGCTATGAATGAGCCTTACCTTATAAGCAGGTGTCTCTTGTAACGAGCTGCTGCCATCGTTCCTGAGGTGAGATCGACGGATCTCATCAGCCTTCACCACCAGGTGTGCTTCGAAGTATTTCTTGAGAGCAGAACAAACGTGTCTCGCTGTTTGTCTCATCGTGAAAATGTGACCCTCATTCATGATGTCCACCTCGTCCTCCACATTGAGGATCTCAAGCGTGCTGATCTACAAGTTTAGGATCGTCAAGGACAAGGCATGACGAGACCCCTTTTCTCCAGGGAGTATACATAACTACAGTAATGAGGAAAACCTGAACAGTGATGAAGGAGTGAGTGAGTGAGTGAGTTTGGGTTGATGCTGCTTTTAGCAAAAATCCAGCAATATCACAGCGGGGGTCACCAGAAATGGGCTTCACAATGTACCCATGTGGGGAATCAAACCTGGGTTTTGGTGACAACAAGATGCTTTAACCACTAGGTTACCTCACCGCCCCCAGTGATGAAGAAAGTCATCAGATGTGTTGATATTAATGAGAATGAGACTTAATTAACTCAATCAACTGCGTTTGTGGAACTTTAAAACCTGAAGAAAGAATGTTGTATTTTAAGCTTTAAGCCTGCATTCTTTGGGTCGCAAGGGTCCCTTGGATCCATAGAAAGATATTGGGGATAAGACCACTGTAGCTCTCCTTTTAAATGTACGACTGTAAAGTTACATCATGTCAGAAGATATGCCAATGATGTTTGATTAAATGAGGCTCTCTCTGTTCTCCAGGTCGAGAGTTGTGAGAGTGTGACACGGTGAGAGACAGGCTACTGACCACATTGAAGAGTCTGCGCAGTCCATCCTTCTGGTCAAATAGATCCATGATGACTCGGAACGGGAAGGCTTGAGTGAAGAACATGGCAGCATGGCATCGACTTGAGTCATGGGAACATTCCATAAGCCACATGACATACCTGGAACATGACAATGAGTCGTGACTAGACACACATGGATAAATGATCAAACAGATTAAAATATAAATGTCAACTGAACATGCATCAGTCCCTTGTTAGGTGCATTATCTATGCATCATTGAAGCATGAAGATTTTCCCAAAAGTGATTGAATTTGGTTGTATTTTAGTCAGTAATCACTTGCCATTACTATTGCCATGACCTTTTACTAATTACCTATATTCTTTTATCATAAACTTGATTTACAGATTAGCCCTGACAAACACTGAAGTTTGAAACCCGCTTTCTTGCTTATTCTGCTGCCTTACTCACATAATCATCCGAAACACTGCCTAGTTGACATGGCCTTTTATTAACACTGTCTAGTTTACAGGGCCTTTCATTAACACTGCCTAGTTGACATGGCCTTTTATTAACACTGTCTAGTTGACATGGCCTTTCATTAACACTGCCTAGTTGACATGGCCTTTCATTAACACTGTCTAGTTGACATGGCCTTTCATTAACACTGCCTAGTTGACATGGCCTTTTATTAACACTGTCTAGTTGACATGGCCTTTTATTAACACTGTCTAGTTGACAGGGCCTTTCATTAACACTGTCTAGTTGACATGGCCTTTTATTAACACTGTCCAGTTGGCAGGGCCTTTCATTAACACTGTCTAGTTGACATGGCCTTTTATTAACACTGTCCAGTTGGCAGGGCCTTTCATTAACACTGTCTAGTTGACATGGTCTTTCACTAACAGAACACTGCCTAGTTGATGAGACCTTTCATTAACACTGCCTTATTTCATCAACAATGCCTAGTTGACATGGCCTTTCATTAACACTGTCTAGTTGACATGGCCTTTTATTAACACTGTCTAGTTGACATGGCCTTTCATTAACACTGCCTAGTTGACATGGCCTTTTATTAACACTGTCCAGTTGGCAGGGCCTTTCATTAACACTGTCTAGTTGACATGGTCTTTCACTAACAGAACACTGCCTAGTTGATGAGACCTTTCATTAACACTGCCTTATTTCATCAACAATGCCTAGTTGACATGGCCTTTCATTAACACTGTCTAGTTGACATGGCCTTTTATTAACACTGTCTAGTTTACATGGCCTTTCATTAACACTGCCTAGTTGACATGGCCTTTTATTAACACTGTCTAGTTGACATGGCCTTTCATTAACACTGCCTAGTTGACATGGCCTTTCATTAACACTGTCTAGTTGACATGGCCTTTCATTAACACTGCCTAGTTGACATGGCCTTTTATTAACAGTCTAGTTGACATGGCCTTTTATTAACACTGTCTAGTTGACAGGGCCTTTCATTAACACTGTCTAGTTGACATGGCCTTTTATTAACACTGTCCAGTTGGCGGGGCCTTTCATTAACACTGTCTAGTTGACATGGCCTTTTATTAACACTGTCAGTTGGCAGGGCCTTTCATTAACACTGTCTAGTTGACATGGTCTTTCACTAACAGAACACTGCCTAGTTGATGAGACCTTTCATTAACACTGCCTTATTTCATCAACAATGCCTGGTTGACATGGCCTTTCATTAACACTGTCTAGTTGACATGGCCTTTTATTAACACTGTCTAGTTGACATGGCCTTTCATTAACACTGCCTAGTTGACATGGCCTTTTATTAACACTGTCCAGTTGGCAGGGCCTTTCATTAACACTGTCTAGTTGACATGGTCTTTCACTAACAGAACACTGCCATCAACAATGCCTAGTTGACATGGCCTTTCATTAACACTGTCTAGTTGACATGGCCTTTCACTAACACCTTTCAGTTGGGACATGGCCTTTTATTCATCAACACTGCCTAGTTGGCCTTTCATTAACACTGTCTAGTTGACATTTCATTAACACTGTCTAGTTGACATGGCCTTTCATTAACACTGTCTAGTTGACATGGCCTTTCATTAACACTGCCTAGTTGACATGGCCTTTCATTAACACTGTCTAGTTGACATGGCCTTTCATTAACACTGTCTAGTTGACATTGTCTTTCACTAACAGAACACTGCCTAGTTGATGGGACCTTTCATTAACACTGCCTTATTTCATCAACAATGCCTAACATGGAACACTGCCTAGTTGACATGGCCTTTCATTAACACTGCCTTATGGCCTTTCATTAACACTGTCTAGTTGATGCTTTCATTAACACTGTCCAGTTGACATGGCCTTTCATTAACACTGCCTCTAGTTGACATGGCCTTTCATTAACACTGTCTGACAGTTCACAGAACACTGCCCAGTTGATGGGACCTTTCATTAAACATTTCATCAACACTGCCTAGTTGACATGGCCTTTCATTAACACTGTCCAGTTGACATGGTCTTTCATTGACATGGCATTTTCATTAACACTGTCTAGTTGGCCTTTCATTAACACTGTATAGTTGACATTGTCTTTCACTAACAGAACACTGCCTAGTTGATGGGACCTTTCATTAACACTGCCTTATTTCATCAACACTGCCTAGTTGACATGGCCTTTCATTAACACTGTCTAGTTGACATGGCCTTTCACTCACACTGTCTTGTTGGCATGGCCTTTCATTAACACTGTATAGTTGACATGGCCTTTCACTAACACTGTCTAGTTGACATGGCCTTTCACTAACACTGTCTAGTTGACATGGCCTTTCACTAACACTGTCTAGTTGATGAGGCCTTTCACTAACACTGTCTAGTTGACATGGCCTTTCATTAACAAAGCCTAGTTGACATGGCCTTTCATTAACACTGCCTAGTTGATGTGGCCTTTCATTAACACTGTCTAGTTGATGTGGCCTCTCATTAACACTGTCTAGTTGATGTGGCCTTTCATTAACACAGCCTAGTTGACATGGCCTTTCACTAACACTGTCTAGTTGATGTGACATTTCATTAACACTGTCTAGTTGACATGGCCTTTCATTAACACTGTCTAGTTGACATGGCCTTTCACTAACACTGTCTAGTTGACATGGCCTTTCATTAACACTGTCTAGTTTACAAGACCTTTGATTAACACTGTCTAGTTGATGTGGCCTTTCATTAACACTGCCTAGTTGACATAGCCTTTTATTAACACTGTCTAGTTGATGTGACCTTTCATTAACACCACCTAGTTGATGTGACCTTTCATTAACACTGCCTAGTTGACAATACCTTTCTTTAACACTGCCTAGTTGACAAGACCTAACATTAACACTGCCTAGTTAACAAGACCTTACGTTAACACTGCCTAGTTGACATAGTTTGTTAATCAGCAGCTGGTGGACCAACTTCACAGGCTGCTTATGAATGGTTCCCCCATCAAGTACCAACCGTACACTGGAGCCATTGTGGCCATGTTTCTTCTATTTCATCAACTCTCACTACAAGCATGGGGTCATGGGGACTTACACACTCGGCACTGATCAGGACGAACACAACATCGAGAGATGTTAAACTTAAACCCAGTGGGTGCCCGTATGAAGACGTATTCTAACAAACCCATTATCATGACAAAATACACACATGGGTTAAAACAGGTGTGTACTGCACACAACAGGAATACATACCCAACAAGATCTGACAGGACATGTTCGGGTAACAAACAAACCTGGAAATGAAACATTTTAGTTCATTAAACAAGTTACAATAGACCTACAAATACTAAAATATTTAGGCATATACGAACGAACAGAAATATAAAACAAGAGTCAAAAGAAGATGACAAATCCCCCCGGCCCCCATAAATTTGAAAGAACAATTCAACTGACAGTTACTTCAAGTCCAACTTGATTTTTTGGGACTAAGTCCAAATTGTTTCCATGGAAATCCTGAAAAATAAAAATGCGTAAAATCTGCAAATAGCAAAGGCAACACTTCAAGATCTGTTTGATATATCTGTCAAGTCTTGTAGAAAGATATTGAATGGTTTTCGAGTTGTGAACCGGAACGAAACCCACCCCTCACTTTTGAGACTAAGTCTGAATCGTTTCCATGGAAACCGGGAAAAATAAAAATGCGAAAAAATCTGCTATAGCAAAAGGCACCACTTTAGGTTCTGTTTGATATAACTACCAATTTTTGCTGAAAAATATTTATCGGTTTTTGAGTTGTGCTTCGGAAACGAAGGCCCCCCCTCCCTGTTGAGATTAAGTTCAACTCGTTTCCATGGAAACCAAAAAAATTAAAATGACAAAAATCTGCAAACAGCAAAAGGCACCACTTTAGGTTCTGTTTGATATATCTACCAAGTTTTGTTGAAAAATATTGAAGGGTTTTTTAGTTATGCTCCGGAAACAAAATGATTACGGACGGACGGACAGACGGACATTACATGCCGGGGGGATAAAAAGGATTATTTTTATATTCATTGCAAACTAAACACTGCAAATAAGTATTGCACATCTTTCATCAACAGATGCCACCAACTCTGAGTGCATGTAAGTAATTTCTCTCTTCTTATTTCAACGAGATCAAATATACACTGCACCACTGTAGACTTGGACAAAATTCAGGACATGTTCTGTTTGATTAGAAGGTGCTTGTGACATTAAACTCTAGGATCCTTTAATTGAATCTCAATCAACAATTAGTAAAATATTCATATAATCATGCATAACTAAACATAATGGTATCAACAAGTCTAGTCCCAAAAGTTTTGATGCATTCATTTATGAAAAGAGAGACAGTATGTTAAAGTTAGAAACAGAATTCAAAACTTATGTTTTTACAGATAAGAAATATCAATCATATTCGATTAATTGATATTTGTCTCTCAAACGTTCAGCAAATACCCGATAACTAAGACTTTGTTGATACTTCCGACACTAAATGTGGTGAATCCTCTGTAAATAACACTACTTGTGTGACTACTGATATCTGCATGACTACAGTACAATATCATCTGATACATGGGTAAATAATGACTGAACCCCCTCGCGACATAGTAATACCCTTTCCATTGCATCCTCGAAGTAAGACAGGTAGTACAGACAGAGTGACACCCCTGTAGCAGCAATGGACGGACGGTACACCTCCAGCAGCTTCCCAACACCGCCCACGGAGAGGAACTCGATAGCAAACTTTTTGTGACAAAGCAGTGTGGCGAGGTACTGAAATTATACAACACTCAATATCACTTGTTGACATCGCTTGGAGTGGTCTCAACAAGAGCTACAATTTCCAAAATATTTATGTCACTTCACGTAAGCACATATACACAACAAAGATATAAACAAGAAGACAAAGTCATCAATATCCCCCGCAATGGCAAAATACTCTTCATGATTATGTCTATGAGTTATGATTATGTCAAATATTTAGGTGTGTATATAGAAAAGTGGAAGGAGAGTATTGAAAGGTTTTTAAAGTTCTGCTCCAGAAAGCAGTACTATCACCAATTTCAGGCTAAGTCAAACTTGTTGCCATGGAAATGCCCAAAATATTTTATTCAGAATTTCAAAACTACCAAAAGGCACCAGTACACCACCAGACCAATCTATGTGCCAAGTTTGGTGAAGAAACATTGAACGGTTTTAGAGTTCTGCTCTGGAAAAGAGCACTACCACTAATTTAAGTCAAAATCGAACTTATTGCCATGGAAACGCTAAAAATATTTAATTCAGAATTCCAAAAACTACCAGTACACCACCAGATCCATGTATGTGCCAAGTTTGGTGAAGACATATTGAACGGTTTTAGAGTTCTGCTCCGGAAAAGACCAATGTGCACGGACGGACGGACGAACGCACGCACGCACAGAGTCCATTTTAATACCCCCCGTAAAACGTGTTGCGGGGGATAAAAATTTCTACATGAACAAACATGTTTCCATATCAACATGACTGGAGAGTAGAAAACTTTCAAACAGAACACCTTACAACTATCATCATGCAAATATTTAAGGTGACACTAGCAATCGGTCAGGATTTGTTGGGAAGAAGAGAAACAACATTTATTTCAACAATGCTGCTATCAGCATCTAGTCCACATCATTCATCAGGATGCCACGTTATGCAGTGAAAATGATCCTTGTCAACCTAGGAATCATCATCTAGATAATGTTATGCTGGTGTTGTGCAGGAGCATCTCCAGCCATTACTTACCTGCCATGGTAATCCCAAACGTGTTTAATTGGCTTCAGATTATAGTTTGTCGTTATTTATTTAATTGGAATCTGACTGTCCATCTAGTTTTGGTTCTGATTCAGCCAGTGTGTGATTGATTGGACGACTCACCTTGAGAGCTTCGAAGGCTAGTCTCACATCCTTATTCTCCTTCAGATTGATGTAGTATAGGATGAGGTTCAGGGCATTATGCTCAAATGCTGCTCCCAGAAGCTGCAATATAACATGAAATGAGGTCAAACAATATTATAGATATATAGATATCCATAGTCCCCACCCGCCCAAAAAAATAAATATAAAAAATACCAACTGTGACTACACCAGTCCTTGCTTATCCTCTTAATGCACCTCTGCAGAACACCTATAACTACAGTCGAGCACCGTTGTCTCATCGAGTTATCCGAACTTCGAGACATCCGACCAGGGCATATCATCACATATCACTATGAAAGAAAACAAAACGCTTCTCAGTATGTTTTGATTCAAAACTATAATCCGTTATCAGTAGTGTTTAGTCGTGACAATGAGTACTTCCTAATTAATTCCTTCTTAATTAATTCATATTAAATAACAAACAAGTGACACCTTTAACTCAATTAGCCCTAATTAGTTTACACTACCTCATCCCTTTGATTCATGCTGCACTGTGTGTAAACGTGTGGAAACATCCTCAGTTCAGAGGGATACTTGCCCATGAAAGGTAGGTGAATATTGAGTTTCTTTGTAAATATCAAGTTAAAAGGGTAATTTTGCTTGTTGGGACCATGAAATTATATCGAGATATCCAAAATATCGAGACATCCATATTGAGTCAAAAGAGCTTCAATAATGATGAATTATGAAGGATTTTGCCGGAACCGAGATGTTATATCGAGACAACCAAGATATCGAGTTATCAGAGTTTGACACAACGGTGCTCGACTGTATCTACCCGTGAGGATCTGGGTTAGAATTGATCTTCAGTAACCCATGCTTCTCTTAAAAGGTGACTAGCGGGATCAGGTGGTCAGGCTCGCTGACTTGGTTGACCAACATGTCATCGTATCCCAATTGCGTCATACTGTTGATCATTGGATTGTCTGGTCCAGACTCGATTATTTACAGATTGCCGCCAAGCAGCTGGAATATTTCTGAGTACGGCGTTAAACTAAACTCACTCACTCCTAATGCTGTGGGCCAGGCAGGGAAAGAACAAGTGAAACAAGGAGCTAGCTTCCATTAATAACATAAACTTTCAGTTGATCTGACAGATATGAGTAGATGTATTTCATCACTAATCTGTGCAGATACTTCTCCTGACACCTTAATGTGACAGGAAAGGGTTCATCGAAAACGGAATCATGTCATGTTCTATTTTAATATATCAAAATCAAATAGTTCATATTGAGTCTGTCCAGTAGAGTTATGATCAGCAGATGTGGTCTGGTCATGTAATATTGTGATCGCTGCGCATTCACTGTGTCCTCAACACAGCCCACTACACACTGACTGTCACAAATAACTTTCTAATATTGAGGTGCTGTTTGGGGAAGTCAAAATAGTCTTCACCAGTTCTTGTCTTTGAAAATATTTCTTAACAAAGCCTTGTATGAGCTGCAGTCTCCATCAACATCTGATGCAATCATGTCTAGTCATATTTATGAGCTTATGATACCTCAATATATCGGAGTTGCCATGGTGATCTGACACTGACCTCCTGATACTCCCCCATGGGTATGAGATACTGCAGGATCATCCTCTGCTTCATCCCAGCTGTGAGAGGAGACATGGAATACGAGCCTATAACGTACGGCTCCAGCTCTGCCCAGCTGCTGTTGCTGCACTCCAGTTCTGGATCTGTAACAATTGGCAACAGTAACCTGGTAACACACGACATCCATCTACGTTGACTCATTTAACCTCGACAATCAAGTGTGTTATGTTGATAAATATCCGGGAATCACACCCTAGGCCCTGGTCAAATCACACCATGGGTGAGTGAGTGAGTTTAGTTTTACGCCGCACTCAGCAATATTCCAGCTATATGGCGGTGGTCTGTAAATAATCGAGTCTGGACCAGACAATCCAGTGATCAACAGCATGAGCATCGATCTGCGTAATTGGGAACCGATGACATGTGTCAACCAAGGTCAGCAAAACTGACCACCCAATCCCATTACTCGCCTCTTACGACAAGCATAGTCGCCCTTTATGGCAAGCACATGGGTTGCTGAAGACCTATTCTACCCCGGATCTTCACGAGTCATCACACCATGGGAAAAGAGAAACCAATCATACTACACAGATACTTCATGGTTGGAACAAGCTGCAATACAGCCAATGGCACTAAAACCCAACACAACCTGTCAAATGACAAGAAGCAAATTGGAATGAATGGAAGAAGTACTTCTGTGGCCTAAGTGACAGAAAATCAAGCAAAATTAATGATGAGAGAGATGGGAGATGCTGATTGTCTAATCCAATATATGATGTTGAAGGGGGTATTTATATTCAGGGTATTTATCATAATTAAATAGAGATGTAACACACTCAATAATCGAGGAAGTAATTCCTTCAATATTTTATTAACACACATCCCATTATTGCTTGGTACCCAGGCATCAGGTGTCTTTATGTCAGAAATAAATGCTTCCATCAAAAACCAATTACTACTGTTATGTTTTATCGTCAGATTCAGATTGTACTGGTGGTAAATATTGTCTGAAAACCTTGCTATTTCATTTCTTCAAACTCCATTAAAACTATAAGATGATGTAGTTCCAGGAAAACCCTTATATGCACAACAGACCACACAAGGCGCTCCAATATGTAGCTACAGAACTTCTTACATAGTAGATACAATACAGGACCAAATGACTTTGAAGTTAACATCAGTTTACTGTTTGTATCTAGACTTACTTCCAAATGGCTGATACCGGGCTCTCTTTAGTGTAGACGTGAGCCTGTAGAGGTCTTCACTGTAGTAACTCGGAGAGAGAGCTCGCTTCATCTTCCGCCTTCGTTCATCCCGTTTCTCCTTCTCCACTTCCTCAGACGATTTATCCGCTGCAGAATCGGAGTGGCTGATGCTTTCATTTGACGGAGCACTTTTTGTTGGTGACACCTCACCGAACATAGAGAATGGCCGATCACCTACTGATGGATGTGCATTCTCGATCTCCTCCTCAAACTGTTTCTTCCTCAGTTCATGAAGCCTCTTCAGCATGAGAGGAACCTGTGTCCAACAAATGTACATGCCGTTAGCGGGAAAATAGGTGAAAAAAATGGGATTTGAAATATCATTCTCACTTTCTGAAAGTCAGAGATGTTTCAACATTTAAAGCAATAACGTAAAACAAAGCACAAATACCTCTCTTCCTTTGAAGGCCCTGTTATAAGTCACATACAATGATTCTACAACGCAACATAGTAGAATATGATGAAATATGATTTTTTTTTACTTTGGGCATGCTTACTGACATATGACTGCAGCCTCTTTACAAGTCAAAAAAATTCCTGAAATCTGTCAAAAATGTATTAAGACCATTAAATCAAATGTTTATTGCCGATCTATCTTTATGAGTGAATGAATGAGTGAGTGAGTCAGTGAGTGAGTGAGTGAGTGAGTGAGTGAGTGAGTGAGTGAGTGAGTGAGTGAGTGAGTGAGTGAGTTGAGTGAGTGAGTGAGTTTAGTTTTACACACTCAGCAATATTCCAGGTATATGGCAGCAGTCTGTAATTAATAGAGTCTGGACCAGACAATCCAGTGATTAACAACATGAGCATTGATCTGTGCAATAGGGATACGATGACGTGTCAACGAAGTCAGCAAGCCTGACCATCCGATTGCCTCTTACGACAAGCATGGGTTACTGAAGACCAATTCTAACCTGGATCTCCACGGGAGACAAGCATGTGTTACTGAAGACCAATTCTAACCTGGATCTCCACGGGAGACAAGCATGTGTTACTGAAGACCAATTCTAACCCGGATCTCCACGGGGAGACAAGCATGTGTTACTGAAGAACAATTCTAACCCAGAGCTCCACGGGGAGACAAGCATGGGTTACTGAAGACCAATTCTAACCCGGATCTTCACGGGGAGACAAGCATGTCTTACTGAAGACAATTCTAAGCCAGATCTCCATGGGGTAAGGGACAAGCATGGGTTACTGAAGACTAATTCTAACCCGGGTCTCCACGGGGAGACAAGCATGTGTTACTGAAGACCAGTTCTAACCTGGATCTCCACGGGGAGACAAGCATGGGTTACTGAAGACCAATTCTAACCCGGATCTCCACGGGGAGACAAGCATGGGTTACTGAAGACCAATTCTAACCTGGATCTCCACGGGGAGACAAGCATGGGTTACTGAAGACCAATTCTAACCCGGATCTCCACGGGTCAGGGACAAGCATGTCTTACTGAAGACCAATTCTAACCCGGGGCTCCATGGGGAGACAAGCATGGGTTACTGAAGACCAATTCTAACCCGGATCTCCACGGGGAGACAAGCATGTGTTACTGAAAAACAATTCTAACCCAGAGCTCCACGGGGAGACAAGCATGTCTTACTGAAGACCAATTCTAACCCGGATCTCCACGGGTCAGGGACAAGCATGGGTTACTGAAGACCAATTCTAACCCAGAGCTCCATGGGGAGACAAGCATGGGTTACTGAAGACCAATTCTAACCTGGATCTCCACGGGGAGACAAGCATGGGTTACTGAAGACCAATTCTAACCCGGATCTCCACGGGGAGACAAGCATGGGTTACTGAAGACCAATTCTAACCCTGATCTCCACGGGGAGACAAGCATGGGTTACTGAAGACCAATTCTAACCTGGATCTCCACGGGGAGACAAGCATGGGTTACTGAAGAACAATTCTAACCTGGATCTCCAAGGGGAGACAACCATGCGTCACTGAAGAACAATTCTAACCCGGGTCTCCATGGGGAGACAAGCATGGGTTACTGAAGACCAATTCTAACCCTGATCTCCACGGGGAGACAAGCATGGGTTACTGAAGAACAATTCTAACCCGGATCTCCACTGGGAGACAAGCATGGGTTACTGAAGACCAATTCTAACCCAGATCTCCAAGGGGAGACAAGCATGGGTTACTGAAGACCAATTCTAACCCAGATCTCCAAGGGGAGACAAGCATGGGTTACTGAAGACCAATTCTAACCCGGATCTCCATGGGTCAGGGACAACCATGCGTCACTGAAGAACAATTCTAACCCGGATCTCCACGGGGAGACAAGCACGGGTTACTGAAGACTAATTCTTATCCGGATCTCCATGGGTCAGGGACAAGCATGGGTTACTGAAGACCAATTCTAACCCGGATATCCACGGGGAGACAAGCATGGGTTACTGAAGACTAATTCTTATCCGGATCTCCACGGGTCAGGGACAAGCATGGGTTACTGAAGACCAACTCTAACCCGGATCTCCACGGGGAGACAAGCATGGGTTACTGAAGACCAGTTCTAACCCGGATCTCCACGGGGAGACAAGCATGGGTTACTGAAGAACAATTCTAACCCGGATCTCCACGGGGAGACAAGCATTGGTTACAGAAGACCAATTCTAACCCGGATCTCCACGGGTCCGGGGCAAATGATGGGAACAGAATAGTTGACGTCCTAAGTTCCCAAAATATTTTGATGTTTTGGCGTGTATGACGACATTGAGTGAACGAATATTTGCCATTTTCTCCATTCACTTTTAAATTACCGTAAAAATGAAATTCAAAGTATTAATTATAATTTGAATAGGAAAATAAGATACAGGTGGAATGATGATAAACAATCTTTTGTTCTGTGTTGATCTTCACAGGTAATCTACATCATGTTCCGACTTCAATACAGGACAACTCACCATAGCATAGTTCTTCTCCTTATTTGCAGAAGCCACATCTTGAATCTCCATGGCTCCAGCCAACAGTCCTGTAGCATAGGACCGGAGTGGCTCTGGGCCATTCTCAGCCCAGCCAAACAGTCTGTCCACTAGGCCCTCCTACAAACAAACAACTGAATTAAGTGGACGAAAGAAAATTTGAAAACCTCAGACTCTCACAACTTGAACAAACATTTACACAGCATTACACAAACAACAGAGTAACATGTAACATGTGTTATATTTGTGTAATAACAGAGTAACAAATGTAACAACAATTGAATTGGTTTTGAAAACCGCTTTTAGTAGTTAATAATGTTTGTTGTAATAAACAATGTGATAGCAATGGCACTGTACTTCTGGATATGAAGTCGACAGTTCTAAGTGCAAACAAAGATCACCACATGACAAAAGTTTGCCATTCAAATGACTCCTGCATGAATACTGAGGACTTGAAATTAACTGTAAATTCTATAGATTTGCACAAAGCATTTCATTTTCTGGTGACTGACTGAGTTTGGCTTTACGCCGCTTTTAGCAATATTCCAGCAACATCACGGCGGGGGACACCAGAAATGGGCTTCACACGTTGTACCCATGTGGGGATTCGAACCCGGGTCTTCGGCGCGACGAGCCAACGCTTTAACCACTAGGCCACCCCACCGCCCCCATTTCCTGGTGAAACATAGATGCAAATTTTCAGCTCAGCACCAGATTGCTACAGAGGTATCTGACAATTCAAGAGGGTGGTTGATGTGCAAAGGTCAACATCTTTAGATCCCCATTATCTACAACACATATACAGTTCTTCACATTAGGCCAGACCAACTTTATTTCTTGTTTTACGGATCCTCCGATCGTATTTATTCAAGAGTACGAAATAAAATCAAAATGAATTTTCGCCGCTCAAAAAATAAAATCCCAATGTTTTTATCGGACAAAAAAGTAAACATACAAGAAATTTTGTTTAAATTGTTTTTTGCCCCATATCCACTTCATAAATTGCCAAAAGTAAAATACTTTTAGCATTTAAAAGGAATATTACTTTGACTGGTGATTTTTGTTGTTGATTTTTTCCCCTCCTGGCTTTAGGTTTTCTGAGGACAAAATTCCGTAAAACAAGAAATAAAATTGGTCTGGCCTTATTTTCTATAATAATGGCTAAGTAATGACCAAATAATACATATTTTCAAAATGGCTGGCATGGAAGCCATATGTAACTTTGATCATCAGGGTAATCCCCCAATGTAGGCTGTCACCAAATTTGAAGACATTGGGTACAAAAGTTCATGAGATATCGCGTTAACAAGAGTTTCAAAACTGGTCAAAGTGTCGTGGTGACCTTGAAAATAAGGTCAAGGTCAAGGTCACCAACAATCGACTGGTGTCAGGGTAATCCCCCAATGTAGGCTGTCACTAAATTTGAGGACATTGGGTACAACAGTACAGTACGTACGGACGCCGCTGAATACATAGTCGCCCGTTGCGCGTTGCGGCAGAGGACAATTAGATCTTTCACCCTGAGATGATACATCTCTGCAAAACCTGAGAAAGACTGTATACAAACCGTGTCGGGTGTCAATAGCATGTCAGTTTTCTAAAATGATCCATGAATGAAATAAGATGAAATCAATAGGAAAAGTCACACAGAGGACAACCATATCCTCAAAGAATAATAAATACACAGTACACCCATTTAGGTGTAGATGCTGCTGAACTCTGCATTCAACTGGTGTATGACATATCCACAACAAAGTGTGCACTCTATTCTTTTAAATACAGAACTGGCCATTTGTATTTTTCTCTTTTCACGTTAATGCCAAGGTGAAGGCAGAGTAAGAACAAGCACCATGGTTCTGGTACGACATGCCAAAGGATGGAACCATCGACCCAATACTATTCACTCTGGGCCTAAAATAAAAAGTGTTGTGGTTCCGATTACCCGACCGACCCTTGAATTCTGGTGCCGACCCTATTTTTTTAAAGTGGTATGAATAACATAAGCTTTCGGATACCATTGTTTTTGCCTGGCACCAACGGACTTCGGTCATTCTGATAGAGAAAGTCGACATGATGGCCGCAAGCTTGATTGAATAAGCAATTATACATTGAAAAATGAGTTATTAGTTTGTACTTTACTTCTAAAAAAAAAATTTAGAAAAAAGTCTTACCTACCTACCCGAAATTTTAAAGAGGTGTAATCGGAACCACAACATTTTTTGGTATTTGGCCCCATCCCTTACACCAAAGAGGAGGTCCCACACAAGAGTGACAAGTCTCACCGTGTCCTGGAAGACGACCGACGCCTCCATGCCTGGCATCACGTCCAGCAACAGCCGACAGGCTGCTGTGTGAAGATCCTGGTTGTTCTCACTCGGATTCATCAGATCGAGCCAACCAACTAAAACATACACACATATTTAAAACAGCATCGTAACACCGATTTCAAAGGAAATTGCTTGACTGTTTATCTTTGACAATTGACCTTGGTGTTTTGCCATGTTTGTATATAGATGTTGCATCAGGCTGAGAGAAAAGTTGTCACACTGCTACTTTGATTCAAACTGTAAAATATATCAAGGATCAACATGATTAACATATAGAAGATCTGAAGGATGACTATCTGACAGAATTCAAATCAAAGACCTACACTACAGATGTTGGACCATGTCACATGACCCAAGCGGTCAGTCCATCACGCTGACCAGATACAGATGTCATACTTGGCACAACTCCACGGCCACATACATGTGGCATCATTAACTGGACATTGGAGGGACCAGGGGGGAAAAGCCTCTTGTTATCCGCCTGTATGTACTGTATTACAGTAATCATGATAATGAGCACAATTAAATGATAAATAGTTACCTCATTCATGAAGTCTTCATTCTTAAACAAAGTCTTCATAAGGTGACCTAGAGCACATGTTGGATTTGTTTTTCCTACAAAAGAAAACAGTGTCTTTCAGTTTATGAACATAACGAAAGAGAGCATCTTCTGAATATAAATCTTTCAAAAAAGGAACATCCTGTTGAGGGCATTACTCATCGTGTCATGTACAGATATGTCCTCATCGACATGATTATCAAGCTGATGATGACATACGTGTCCTAATATTAAACCTGCATGATCAGCTGTTATGTGTCTATAACATGTACAGTGAGTGAAAGAAGTACTGTTTTTAAATCTGCATGATCAGCTGTTATGTGTCTATAGCATATACAGTCAGTCAGAGAGGTACTGTTTTTAAATCTGCATGATCAGCTGTTATGTGCCCATAGCATATACAGTCAGTCAGAGATACTGTGTTTAAATCTGCATGATCAGCTGTTATGTGTCTATAGCATATGCAGTCAGTCAAAGAGGTACTGTTTTTAAATCTGCATGATCAGCTGTTGTGTGTCTATAGCATATAGACCGAGTGAAAGAGGTACTGTTTTTAAATCTACATGATGTAATCACCAATTTTAAGGTTTTTCCCCCAGGTTTTTGATAATTAATGTTTTTTATAACTAATACTGTCATTCAATGAAATGCACGCATGCAAGAACAAATTGTATATCTCATTACGTTCACGATAGATGTAAAATTTATTCATAGACAGGTTACAGAAATATTTACTGTAGTGATGAATACGAAACTATGAATACAATGCGCATAGCTTTATGCTGTTGAGCGCTTGTTTGTTTGTGAATATTCATTAAATTTAATGGTTAGTTTACTTTATTCAAGTGTGTTATACTAAAACACAAAATTCCGATTAATCGAAAAAATGTTTTTTCACAATCGATAATTATTTTTAATCCTTCTTTCGGTCTATTTTCGATAATGGGAACACCACTAATTGTTAGCAGCCATGTTGAAAGAACTTTTACCAGCAATACTTGAAATGGCCTTGTTCAAAATTGCATCTCATCAGAGGCTAGTAAACTTCAGGAAGGACTAGTGACAATTCTCTGTATACAATAACTTTGTGAACACGTGAAAATCATAATGTACTTCGATCCCAGGATTTTATAGTGTATCATACCTGCATTCACAATGCTACTTTCATTCTGAAAGTTATATCACTTCTTCATTTTCTTTTTTTCTTGCCAAACACAGAATTTCTGTCACTTGTGATTGTAATTTGACTGGTTATATGTATCATCATTCTGTTCATACTTGCTTCAAAACAAAACCATTGCAGCAAATGTGTCCCGAGCACTTATTGCACTAGTAGAGGCAGGGGTGGAAATAACTTTAAAATTGCTAGTGTACACCGGTACAGTGGCACATGTAAAATCACTTGCCCTGATAATGTTTCCACTAAACCGGCCATTTTCTTGTTGATTTTTTAAATAAACAACATAATTAACATTGGAAAGTCAACTAAACACCGGTACAGTGTGTTATACAAATTTTCTTGCCCGAAAGAGAAAAACACTGGACTCGGACGTCGGGCAATGGGTTATTTCCGCCCCTGAGAGGGGCATATATTCTATATAGTCAAGGTGAGTTCAAGGTGTGTCACATAATGGCACACATACAAAAGTATTACAACACTATCAGGGTACAGCAGACAATTTCTTGGCAGGGATATTCATGGCAAACATCAGTATCTATAGAACTGCTATCAATACAGCATCTCTCTCTCTCTCTCTCTCTCTCTCTCTCACACACACACACACACACACACACACACACACACACAAAAACAAAACAAAAAACCTACCTGGATGGCGGTCATCAAAAGGATCTGGATCCATCTTGAAGTAAGCTTCAGTTTCCTTCTCGACCAACTCTGCCAATCTGAAAGTCATGAACTGACTGTTAGCAAGTCTTCAATTAGCTGAATGTCGAATAAACGAGTCTGGACCAGACAACCAGTGATCAACAGCACAAGCATCAATCTGCGTAATTGGGAACCGATGACGTGTGTCAACCAAGTCAGCGAGCCTGACCACCTGATCCCGTTAGTCGCCACTTACGACAAGCATGTGTTACTGAAGATCAATATTCTAACCCGGACCTTCACGGGAATGACAGAAGTAGAGTTAAACTGTCTATAGAATAAAGAATAGTTCAACTGGGTGTAGAATGGGGTATAGTTAAACTGTCTATAGAATAAAGAATAGTTTCTATCAGTTATCTTTCAACATAACACACATGGGTGTAGAATCTGCTGTGTAAAAAGTACAGCTTTCCCTCTGATTGTTCACTTTAACACTTCTGTAAGAAGACTGACTGACTGAGTTTGGTTTTACGCTGCTTTTAGCAATATTCCAGCAACATCACGGCGGGGGACACCAGAAATGGGCTTCACACATTGTACCCATGTGGGGATTCGAACCCGGGTCTTCGGCCTGACGAGCCAACGCTTTAACTATTAGGCTACCCCACCGCCCCTCTGTAAGAAGAACTCCCCTTATTTTTAAATATTCTGCGTCTATCAGTGATTGCTATTACATTATTTATAATACATATATTGCTTAATTATTGACGAAGTACATGTAATGTAAACTCAAAGAATCAGCTTATGATAGTGTACAATGCAAACATAACTATTAACTTAAGCACTGGTGTAAAATGTGCAATACCACATATATAGAGACAGATATTTTATGTAAGAAACCACATTATACCCAAATCACTATTTCATGGATTAAGGATGTTGTGTGTTTAATATCCGTAGATTATTTAAGTGTGTTCCTAGGCATAGCTTATAAGTGGTTATAAATATTTTTCCTAATTTATTTTAGTGATTATTTCTTATATTGCAAACAGCCTGGTATGACAGCCGAAATGAATGAACACTTTCTCATTTGGACTATTCACATTACAGATATATAAACACATGTAAAAAAACCCTAAAACGTGCATCTGGCAGTTAGAAACATGTCCCAGCAACTGTTGCAGTGAAGTAATCATAAATAATAAATAACTTTTGTCGAATTTGAGAAATATTGGGTTATCTCCCTTTGAACCTTCAACATCCAATGTTTCCAAACAAAATTCGGTCACATTTTCCGAGAGAATACATTTCAAACACCAACATTCACATCCAGTTACGAGTTATTGTTCCAATTACCATAACAAGGAAGAAATGGGTCCAAATATCACAAACCAGAAGGTTTTCTGATAAATTTTAGAGTCTTATATAGCAATCACACACATATCTATCAATATCTTGGCATATGAATTCGCCTTAGAAAAACGTCACACCTTTTCAGTCTTGGCAGTTGACCCGTGTTGCTGTTGTGATCTCTGTTCCATTCATCAAGAACAGAGTTGAACTCTGTTTGCGATTCTGACGCAGATACAGAGGCAGACGCAGTCGAAGACATTGTTTTGAATGCGAGAGTGTTTTAAAATCAAAACACTGCAAGTGGTTGAAGTCTATATGACAATAATAAGCTTATCGGTATAATAAAGCTACCCCGAAACACTCCGAGGAGTCTTTCAGGAATAACGACTGCACCCTTTTCGCGTAAAAAAAGTATGAAAGTAGCTGTCTGTTGCAAAATCAACGAATTTGTTCCACCATCACATGCAACATTTTCGCAAACGACGCCATGCCGTTCACAATTTTCCGGTAGTCTTTCCCACTTGTAGTTTCGTATTTAAAGAACTTATCCCAGTATCAAATCGATATGATCATATTAATCTAAAAATCTGACAATGTTTTATTTGTTTTCAATTAGGCGTTTACATAGTAATTTAACTTCGAAAATTATGGAAATAGCAAACTGGTATCTGGTCTTTTTAAAGACTAGTGCAACTACTGGTATACGCAGACGCTCGTTGAGGATTTTATGGCTAGCTTCATATTTTTATCATTGTGTTTTGTCAATGCTGGCAAGAAGCGCCCCGCCAGGCTGTCTTCACTGCAATACAGACCCCAGACAAAGCCTAAAGGGTTTTTCACTTCTATTTCAATACTAATATTGTTCATTATTTTTTGTAAACCACATGCTTAATATGCATTTTCCTAGTAACATATTAATAGCAGAGACCATTATATGGTCTCTGTTAATAGTTATTACATTATTGACTGGTCACAACATACATAGAGTAGCATCGGTCCCCTATGTTCGTGGGGTATCTGTCCAGCGTGCCCATGCGTTTGACGGCCCAGGCGCCACGAAGACCAATTTCTTCTCTTTTTTTTTTTTCATTTTCTGAACATTATAGGCATGTCAAGATTTCGATAGAGTAATCGTTAATGTCAGATAAAATATTTGTTCACACACGTAAAATTGTATTCTCGCGTATTTATCTGTTTTTATGTCTCTAACGTTTCACCATACTTTCCAGCACTCTCACTGAGGGTGCCGTAAACTAAACAATCTGCTCTTAAAGCCACTCAAAAAAATAAAAAGAATACCATAAATCTTAAGATATCGACAGGACGATGACTAAATCACAAACAGGTAATTGAAAATTAAAATTCCCACCATCATAACACTAACACTACATGCAAGCACTCTTTCAAGCCTTAGGTATTTTTCTTATCAAAACCCCATTGCGCAGATCGATGCTCATGCTGTTGATCACTGGATTGTCTGGTCCAGACTCGATTATTTACAGACCGCCGCCATATAGTTGGAATATTGCTGGGTGCGGCGTAAAACTAAACTCACTCACTCGCTCATTCTTATGAAAACCGGCCTTCTAGACCACATAACCCACCAGTACCAATCTGTAAAAGATTAAAACATAACCTGAAATAAAGCAACAACCGAACCACAACATGCTCCCCTCCCATCATTTCTGGCAAATTTCTTAATTTAAAATTCATACAAAATTTAGATATACAACTGTAACGCCCAAATCAGGTTGCCCTCTCTTTCGGTCATAATCGCCCCTCTTTCGCTCTAACACTAAATGGCACGGAAAGCGCACGTAAAATCATCATCATCAGGTGTCGGACAGTTATAACATGTTTGTAATAACTCATAGGTATGTTGAATGTTGACTGATTAACTGTTCAATGTATTTGGAAGTGTTAATTGTTTAATCTATTCGTATAATATCAATGATAATTCTAGATGATGGTTTGTGTTCTTATGTTATGGGAAACAGGGAGAAATATTTTTTTGTATTGCTTTTTTATAATAATAATAATAATAATAATAATAATAATAATTGATTTATAGAGCGCCTATTTCCAAAAGATATTGCTCAATGGTGCTATGAAGAGAAAAGATTGTAGACAATGTCTATGGAAAAGAGAGTTTGAACAGATGAGTTTTGAGGGCAGTTTTGAAAGCATCAGCAGATTCTATTTCTTTTAGGGTGAGTGGTAGAATGTTCCAGAGATAGGGGGCTGCAGCAGAGAACGCTCTTGATCCCATGAGTGTTTTGACGTGAGGCTGTGTAAGCAGTAGGGAGTTTGACGAGCGGAGCAATCGGCTTGGAACATGGAGATGAATGAGGCTTTTAAGATATTGAGAAAACATGTTTTCATAGATGCAGCTGTGTGTAAGAAGAAGAAGTTTGTATTGAATTCTGCTTGATACAGGAAGCCAGTGAAGAGTTTGGAGGATAGGTGTATACAGTGTATACGTTGTTAATGATTGAAAGATAGGGGGTAATGCTCCTCGGACATTTTTTTCCGGGGAGATCTGGTTCCGTCCCTGGTCTGTGGGCACACATCATATCCGACAACTATAACACATTGTTTCTTTTTGTTTTCTTTCTTCTTTGATGTAAATATGTCAGCCAGTGCTTGAATGTTGCAGTTAATGCCACACATGTGTAAGTTCTCCTGTCGAAATCGAGGTAACATGTCACCTGGAAAGTATGGCATACGGTCGATGAATTTGCTTTCAGTATTATTCATTTACGAATAAATTTTAGGAAACTTTCAGCCTCTGTTTCACAATATCGATATTGATCGTTTTTATTTTACCGAAACTTCTAGTGGGGAAGAATGGACCAACACCCGTTGTTTTCAGATGCTAACATTAATTAAATCTATTACTCATATAAACATTCAGAGCTATTGTTTCCATAGCAACTACACATACACACAACATATGCTAAACATTCTTTATTTCTCTTACTCATATAAACATTCATTAAATCTATTACTCCACAGCAACTAAACGATATACACAACATATCCTTGTCATAAAATGCCACCAAATGACTACTGGGGTTAGGCTTAGTCACTTGGCGATTGTACAATCATCCCGACCCAAATCACAGGCAAACTGTAGCGCAAATAGGGTTGCGCAGAAAGAGAGATAATGACCAGTCTTCTTATATCTCGCGCGCATATAAGAAGACTGGTCATTTTCTCTCTGCTGCGCAAACCTATTTGCGCTACAGTTTGCCTGTGCCCAAATACACAGATCAATGTTCAGGGTATCATTCTTTGGGCCGTCTGGCCAAGAATCGATTATTTACAGACTGTCGTCATATAACTACAATATATACTCTGCAAAAAGAACCGCAAAAGTTGTTTGCCGATGCATAAGTTATGCATAAAGTAAATAATCAACAGATCATAATAATTTGTTCACATATTTGGAACAAGTCATTGTCACCGACCGAAGTTTATCATGGCATGCATGAAACAATCGAATGTGAAGGTTAAGGTCATATGTTCTAATTATATCTTGTATGACCCCCCCATGAGAGTCCGGAACTGCCTTGCATCGTTGAAAAGTGACTGATTGAGTGACTTCAGTTTTACGCCGCCGCGGACTACTGAGGCGGCCTACTGGTTAACCGTTCGCTGGTCAACCCAAAGGCCGAGGGACGGGTTCGATTGCCAGCATTAGGTCCAGTTCAACGTGTGAAGCCCATGTGATACTGCTGGAATGTTGTTAAAAGCCGCAAGAAACAACAACCAGAAACAACAACAACAAAAGACACACATGCGTAAATATTTTGTAAAGTGTGTCACACACATTATGAACGTTTCATCACACCTTAGAGGTCAGTGTCAAAGGACGTATGTGGCTCTCTTCTCCCCTCTCTCCTCCCAACCCTCTCTCCCCCAGCTCACTCCCCACCCACCACCCATCCCCCCCACAAACGCTGTCCAATACAGACGGAACACGCCACCCACTTACAAATGCTCGGTTCCACGGAACTCGTGTAAAGAACACACCGAAGGATGAACAGGGAAATATATTTCAATGTCTTTATTGATAAGACTAAACGCGATTTACAACCTAGCATCCAATTGGAATAGTCCGTTATTTATTTTTTTTACCGGTCAGTTATTATATCTTCATTTATAAATATTTCTCTCTTCTTAAAGATGTACATTGTTGAAATTACTCTAAGAGTATTAATTTACAATAAAATGATGTGTTTGTTTTCCTTCTGTAGATATTGAAGCACGGCGTATATGTTGCTGTATGTGTTGCGGGGCATCCATGTCAGTGTGAGTTGTCCAACAAAGGAGGAGCTGCTACACCATGTTGGCGTCAGCTGAAAATAATACAATAATTTAACCTCTTAAAAGGTAAACAACATTTTGTTTCTTGAAGTGATGTCCAAAACAAAGCCTTCAAACACACCCAACACACTAACGTGTAACCTACACGTGCAAACTGTGCCAGTAAACAATGTAACCAGTCAGGAACCAAATTAGATTTTCAAAACACACAAGGCCTTGTATTGTAGAAGAATTCTAGGAGTGCACACTAAGCGCCAGTGTAATATTTCCCATTGAAAATCCAACATGTAAAATCAACTGACATGTTTAGTTTCTTTACCTCCTCAGTATATATCAACCCTGGTGGATAAAAGTAGAAGACCACTTCGGAAAGCGTCAGATTTTTTTTATTATAGTGCATCGACCTGTGTTGCTCTATCGGTTAATCAAAAGCCACTCGGGTTAGATTCTGTGTATGCCTCTCCCCTCTACACAAAGAAGAGGTTGCCATAAATACATTCAACAGTTTTCTGAGACAAATCATACATGTACATACCTCAAATTCTTTTAATGGATGAAGCCATGTTATTAAAATCACCAAGACTACTGTAGGCCATGCCTTCATTAAGGATCTTTCGCCTCCCGGAATATTTGACCTCACTGTACAGCGCCCAACTAAAAAAGACACACAAAAATATACATGAAATTCTCCGACAATTGTGAATTTACGAATAAAACCCCACCAAAATAAGCAATGCTTGTTCGGATCATATCCATCTTGAAAATGCCTCAATTGTTGAGGCAACTGGAATTATGAAGTTGAATTTAAAAATGATAAAATTTCAAAATTCAAATTCCTAAAGGCATACTTGGTGCATATCCGATCCCCTTAAACACATATGCACTTACAATTTGCAAACAAAAGCTGTCTGGATCTTTCGAAAAAAGAAAACATTACAATTATATTTCAGATCAGTGCATATGGACTTACTCTCCCTCGTGGACTTTTGCGGATCATTCGAAATCATTCAAATTGGTCATGTCCTCCGTGACATGCAAACGATCACCCTGAAAGTATTCCTTCTTGAACAGGGTCACCTTGACGGAATTCGAAGTGTCGGACCTGTTTGCCTGCAACTTGATTTTGGATAATACCAACTGTGTAACGTTTCCAGGGAGAGGTCTCTACACTTCACGTGATCTATGTATCGACAATCAAATCAAATTAATAAAAAGTAGTTTTATACCCCTTTTAGAAAAGTGAAAGTAGGATGCTAGAAATAAAATCCACATTTTGAGAATCTAACCCAAGAAGGCTTTTAACCACTTAGCTACCCTACCACCCTAAAGACATTACGGCGAAGGAACTGCAACTATCTGGGGAGATTAGGCAGTCGTCTCAGCCAGTGTAAGAACTTTCATCTGTAGTTTTATGTGGGGTTCTTTTTTAAGTACGCGTCAAATATAGAGGTGATGTTTCAAACAAAACAAAAGATCAGAACCTGACGATGTCAAGTAATAGAACCTGTTTGACCATACATGGAAAGTGTAACCCCTAAACCGAAATATAACAAAATCTAGATAATTATCACAGGAAAACTCTAAATATCTCCAAATCTGATTAGGTGCCTGTAGTAGAATAAATGTTATATTCTATTCAATCACATATTCACATACCATATTTCCTGCTGCTGTTTAGGCTTTCAAACCTGAAAAAGATGTGTATAAATCACAATAACAAATTTATAAGAAGTGTCCTTGCAAATGATACTGGAACACAATAATTATTTTGCAATTGTGCTGTCTGAAAATATTCAGCTCGAACGTCATGCAACGCAGCTCAATGTAGAAATTCACATGTTTGACGTTGCATGGGAGATAGGCAAAAAAGGCAAAAAATAGCACATATTCTTCTAGTTTGGGAAAAGAATTTTTGCTTGATTTAGTTTAATGTCCCCTCGTAAAGATCTACTATACAGACTGAGCAGTGTATCTGCAATTAAGACTTAACGTCCGTGTATTGTTGTTTATGGAGCCAGCGTAAAAACTGATATGTGGATTTCCATGTTGTAATATGTTTGGAACACGGGCATATATATAGGTGTATCTATCGTAGATCATAGAACGGGTGGAAGTAATCTTATCTTTAACCTACATGCGATGGTCAAAGCTACTCACCACTGTGAGGGACACTGGCTAAAATCTAGGGTTTCCTAATTTGCATGTCAGCTTGGTTACAAAAGCCGAGATCTCGAGTGCTTACAACATTTATAATAAACCCAGCGGAAGGGGATAGTTAACCCCTTAAGGAGTCAAGTGACCTGTGAAGACCTGTACTGACATTTCAATATCTGGCCAGGGTTAGGGAGAGACACACAGCAAATTAATCAAACATAGCAGAAAATCTTAATTGTTTTCAGTAATAGAAAACTAACTTGTCGGTTTGGTATCATTTATAACATACAGACAACTCTCCTACATGGTCCTGTACATGGTCTATTTGTGTTCAGATTATCTGTACATCAAATGCGCTTAGCCGTGGCACCAGACGTTTACTTCGCGTACCTACACAATACGCTTAGCCTTCCTCATTACATGAAGAAACGTTTCACTGGACCTAAAATGATGGTACATGGGGAGTTACCTCCTTGACGTGTAGATAAATAAAGGTCAACTGTAATTTGGTAAAAACATTGAAACCCCCACAGTCTGTACCTTGTGGGGTACATGGCAGATGCCCGGAACCTCTTTTTTACGTATGTAACACGTGGAGTTGGTGAAAATGTCCCCATTGTTCTCAGATGGCAGGTTGTCAGTCTTATCGGAACGATTTCATTGGCTGTTATGGGCAAACACTCTCCGGAGCCACTGGGGCTTGAAACGAAAATTCATTCATGTCGTGGGGGCTGTGGGGTAGCCTAGTGGTTAAAGCGTTTGCTCGTCACGTAGAAGACCCGGGTTCGATGCCCCACATTGCGAAGCCCATGTTTTGCTGGTATATTGCAAAAGGCGGCGTAAAACCACACTCACTCACACTCCATATCGTATTTTCGGGGAACCATCTAGAAACTTATTGTGCTTTACCCTGTGACCACTCAGTATTGGCTAATTAAACATATAAAACCTAAACTGCTAAAGAGATTATCCATCCATCTTTGATTGTGACGGAAACGACAAATACAACAGGTGGGGTTTCAGCGACAATTTTCAGCCAATTGATGTTTTATATGTCAATCAAATCCAAATTACAAGGGTATACATGTACTTTCTTGTTGCTACAATGAAGAAAGAAAAAGTACAGATTTTATTGATGATTTCAGTGGAAACGTGATTAAATGATTACGACAGTCAACTAGTTGAATTCAAGATACCAACATAGCACTGAAGGTTATTGAAGTGGTTATTGGCTAAGTAGAGCTAAACTGGCTATAGACTGAAGTATAGTTAAACTGGCTATAGACTGAAGTATAGTTAACTGGCTATAGACTGATGTATAGTTAAACTGGCTATAGACTGATGTATAGTTAAACTGGCTATAGACTGAAGTATAGTTAAACTGGCTAAAGGCTGAAGTATAGTTAAACGGGCTAAAGGCTGAAGTATAGTTAAACTGGCTATAGGCTGATGCATAGTTAAACTGGCTGTAGACTGAAGTATAGTTACACTGGCTACAGACTGAAGTATAGTTACACTGGCTACAGACTGAAGTATAGTTACACTGGCTATAGACTGAAGTATAGTTACACTTGCTATAGGCTGAAGTATAGTTAAACTGGCTGTAGACTGAAGTATAGTTAAACTGTCAATAGACAGAAGTATAGTTAAACTGGCTAAAGGCTGAAGTATAGTTAAACTGGTTGTAGACTGAAGTATAGTTAAACTGTCAATAGACTGAAGTATAGTTAAACTGGCTGTAGACTGATGTATAGTTAAACTGGCTACAGACTGAAGTATAGTTAAACTGGCTAAAGGCTGAAGTATAGTTAAACTGGCTAAAGGCTGAAGTGTAGTTAAACTGGCTGTAGACTGAAGTATACTTAAACTGTCAATAGACTGAAGTATAGTTACACTGGCTACAGCCTGAAATATAGTTAAACTGTCAATAGAGAGAAGTATAGTAAAACCGGCTATAGACTGAAGTATAGATAAACTGATTATTGACTGAAGTATAGTGAAACCGGCTACAGACAAAAGTACTTTTAAACAGGCCACATAAATGCCTAGAAACCCCTAGGCAAATTTGTATTCCATATTCAAGTAGTCGTATTGCAATATGTTGGGAGCTAATGCACTCGAAGGTGAATTATCCTAGCTTCTACGTAATAAGTCCCTGAAAGTAAATGTTATGATTCTGATATCAGCAATCTGACGTGGTCGAGCCTGTAGAGCTAACATGGACAGGGTAGTTAGTTGGGGGGTTCACAAGGTCGGGACCAGCCTGACAATATTAGGACCTCTTGGGTTTCCATATACCAGATCCCGACTTTCAATTTATACCCATGAAAAGTAAGTGACTCATTTAAGGCACTCACTATATGTTATGTATACATATGTGGTTACATCGAAGATGAATTTCTCCACTAACTTGGGGGAACGAACTGCAAATCTTATGCAGATGAATTGCACGAGGATCATGCATCAAATTGCTGAAAAGCTTGTGCACATATCGTGTTATTAAGAATTCGCCAATTTTTACTAAGTTTCATTTTTTATTGAACTCGCGACAATAATCTTTTCAACATTACGAATTTGTTTGTTCAAATGTAAATAGTACCTTTAAACAGTATGGAATATTTTGCAAAATCTAGTTTAGAACAGTTGACTGAACTAAGTGGCTACATTTACACTACTGAGTCTAAACTTCTGATGGGTAGTATATTTTTCTTGAAAGAAAGAGAAATAATAAAATCTTTGCAAATGCCTTCACACAAATACACTCGCTAATTGTTTCTAAAATACTAATAAATAATTGTACATGGAATTTGAAAAGCATGTATTAAGCATATATGCTGAGTGCAAAATATCCCTTCAAACATCTACATTTACAACTTTTATCTTTTCTGATTATTATTTGGGTAGCGTTCATGAAACATCTGTTAGTACCATATATCAAGCACACACTGTGGTTGTCATTGTGCACACGAGTCGGTCAGTAAATTCTGGGTCAAAGGCGTTGACTTAACAACACATTGAGGCGGATCAAGGATGAGGAAATGGAAGCTGCTTGGCACGGGGGGGGGGTGTGTGTGTGTGTGTGTGTGTTGAGAAGTCTCAGGAGAGTGGGTGTGTCGTGATTGTTAAAACGACACGGATTAACGAATCTTAAAAGATAAATATCCCACGTTTAGGTAATAAAGTAATTCTCATTTGTCAAGCTAACATTGACAGTCGAATATGGCCGAAGACATATCATGGCGTCAACCTTATCAGGTACCCATTCTTACAAACCACCACACTAACATTTCAAAAAAGACATATGGCCAGGCGTTTCTTTTGGTGTTCAGTATATACAATAGGATGACGATTCATGTAGTAAATGAAACACTTTCATCAACAGTTTTTCTAAATGTTGTATCATTTATCTTCCCAGTCTCTCTCTATTTACATAATATAGTTTTGGGTCTTTTTTCCCAAGTTCAGCAATTATAATGTCTTCTGTGTTCTTCGTACTATTTGGCTTTACTTACAGGAACATTGAGTTTATCTCTGTGAGGGGCCCACTACACAAGTACATGGTATGATAACATAACTGATGGAAGCGCCTTAAATATAAGTCAGGGGGATTACATCACATTTCTGCAAGCAGTTACAAGGCTTTTAAATTATGCATGGAAACGTGTTCATCTGAGTTTCGTCCCTAGAAATATATATATACTCTGCAAAAACAGAAGCTTAAAAGGGGCTTCATGCATTATATTAAAAATTCAACAGATCATAATAAACTGTCAAAATCTGGCACAAGTCACTGTCACTGACCTAAGTTCATCATGGCACACATGAAACAATCGAATATTCAGGTGGAGGTAATCTGTTCTGAATATCTTGTCTGAGATGCCAGAACTGTCTAGCATCGTTAGAATATGAATTGTGGCCCTGGGAAAATTCACAGACTGTTCCTGCTGTGCCAACTATTGGATGTCCAGTGCCTGCTGTCGACTTGGTGGCAGACTTTAGTCAAGAGCATCCCATGAATGTCCTTTGGGGTTTAGATCTGGTGACTTTGCGGGTCATGGCAGTACTAGGATACTGTGGTTCCTCAAAATGGTCGTCGTCAGTGTTGAAGTGTGTCGTGTTGAAACATGACGTTTACCTGTTGCAAAATGGGAAGGACGCGAGGCCGTAAAATTGATCTGTGTAACATGGTGATTTAAAATTGTCCTGGACGTGGCAGTTCTACTCCGGTATGGGAGATGGTGGCCATCACCGTTACGCTACCTCTACAAAAAAATACTGTAACACCGCTGGCACTCTTCAAACAACACGAGGTGTACAACAATCTGCCTAGCCCGTCACAGTTTTGACAGGTTTGACATCTCTGACAAATGTCGGCAATTCTCATGGATGTAATCTGCCTAGCCGGTCATATTTTTGACGATCTTGACCAACCTCTTACAAGTATCCACTTCAAATAGTGTTAAACCTGTGCCCCTCCCATGTGCTGTTTGGAGCATAACCTTCCCCATGACTCGTCAAAAAACCAAACACGTCTACG